ACAAATGCAGAAGATCCTGCTGTTTTCTGCGGATATCTAAAGTTGCATCTTTAAAATGATCCATTCATTCAGCGTAAGATGTTAAGGTTCTACCAAGGCCACATTTATAAGAGATTTTCATGAACTTCCTCTGGACTCTTTCGCTATTTTGGGAGTGTATTTCATAGTAAGGAGACCAGATTACATTAGATTACATTCCCAAATGCTATCTTTACAGAGAATTGTAAAGATAGCATTTGGGATTTTTTAAGGGAACTGTGGTTCTCACAATAAAGCCCAGCATTTGTAAACTTTTTGATACCATTTTGTCATAATGATCACGAAAAGCCCTAAGGAGGTTGATTATGTATTTGAAAACCACTATAATCCACGCACGCGAAGTCTGCAGATGGAGAACTATCTATCTTATTTTCTTCTATGTATTTTTTACTATCATATGAAATCGTTAGACTAATTGTGATTGTTTTTTTGTGACTAATTGTATGAATAGCTCGGTGAGTGGTTGCTATTAAGCAACGTTCGCAGGGTCGGTCGCGGGATGGGTAACCAAAAAATGTAATTATCTTGAGCTATTCTGTGCTTCGGAAGGCACGCTAAGCCGTTGGTCCCGGCTGCATTTGCAGTCGATAATACCCTCAAAGCCGCATTGGGCCAGCGTGGAGGGTCATGGCCCATCATCTTAAGCCAGTCTTAAAGAAGACCTAAGCCCCTGCAGTGGGAAAGTAAAAGAAATTGAAATTGAATAAAATATACTTGAAAGATTTTGATTTTGAAATTATCAATAACATATTCCTAATAAACTCGTTTGTAAAAGCTACTATAGCAAATAAGATACTTATTTATCTTAACATGATTTTCTCATATGTGGCCTCCGTAAACACATACATATTAGCATATAAATGCGCTATTGTTGGCTATAAGCCATTTCTTATGAAGATTGAGAATATTGCTGATATACTTATCAATATGGATTGATTTGCAACAAACGAAAACATAATCAATTATTTTTTATTTTTCGCTTTTTTTTTCATTCCTTTATCCTTTAAAAAGAAAATCACTAAAACTAAAACATCGATTTATTGTCAGAAATTTAACTCTTCAATTCCCAGTGTATGTGAATTTTAATTAGTTTCATTGTTTGCTTTTTATTTATTCTTTATGAAAATAGTTTTATAAAGGTGGTACTTTAGTTGACAACGTTAAATGATTTGGCGAGGTGTGAAACCAAGGATATCATTATGTTCCCTCCGGAAGATCTATGAAGACGGTGACGATGTATACGACGCCAATATCCTTGATCTTTATAGCTGCATGCTTCGATCTGAAGTAGAAATATAAAATCTGAAAATACAATTGATATACAATTTCTGGCCAAGACCATGTGCAAGACATGGGAGGAGAGGAAAGCTAGCCGAACCAGTCCCAAAAGATGTACCTTCCGTGGATGGCATCGATCGTTACGATTGAGACTCCATAAGAGTTGGATACGACTTGCCGAAATGCGTAATAAAAATATAAACAGAAAATCACTGGATCTACTGTGACTTCCGCCGTTATGTTGCTGCTACCTACCTGGAACAATACAGAAAACCGCCAATTCGCAAATCTGACACTGGAGTCCTTGTGAAGTATAGGGTGTTTAAGGAGTCGAAATTTGGGAAGTTTTTATTAATTTTTGCTTACGCACGTTGGGGGCCCCCTTCACCCGGGCGCCCTATATAATTGATACGGCGGTAGCTCCCCCGGGTACTTGTTCTAAAATAAATTGGTAAGATGAGGTCTTATGTACTATCAGTTAATTTTTTAAAGTAAATTTAATTCTTTATAATTAAATCTTGTGTTTCATTAACTGACACCCCCCCTAAAATGGGAGAGATGAAGTTAATCGTTTTGTTTCCTTTCAATATACACTTATTTACGTATACTAAAGAAGTAAAGTAAAAGAGCATTATTAAGGACATGGGAATTGAAAGGTTAGATTCATCTGTACCTATTTACCTTTTTGATAGTCCTGTTAGTTGCATTTCAGTTATCTTCTTGTTTTTATATATGTCGTAATCTCTAATATACTTTAAAAAAAGTTTAATAAATAGTGAAATGTCGAAAAATAACAAAATTAAATACATTTCTACCTTAGCACAATATACCTACAACCTAGGTAAAGGCAACACAGCCATGCCTCCAACATTTCTTTGATTAAAGCATACCCTACGAGGGGAAGCTTCGAAAAGCAACTCAAAGTGACTGTTAGCTGAAATTTCATATTATTGAAATTGATAAATATCTCATATCAGTTTACATGGTTTTGTAAGAAGAAGCCTTTTGTCTACGCTTTAAACGACCAAACTTATTGGATGGGAAGTTCTTTTATATAAACTTTTTCCTTTGTAGAAATGTTATTCAAACTTAAGTAATCTATAAACTTTTCCTTATTTGTCATAAATCTGATTACATTTCTTGATTTAAAAAAATTGTATATCGGTTTTCATAAAATGTTATATCGATTTTTATTTATTGAAATCATTTACATTATAGCTAGTATTTTATGCTGCTTTACCATTAAAAGTAATATTAACGACTTATACTATAAAAAGGTTTTAAACTTGACTTTAAAAATGCAGTATGTCCTTGCCTTAGTAAGAAAGCACTGTATATGTTCACTATAAACGGGCGTAGTAGGTAATTAGTTTCCTGTACCAAAAACATATAAGATAAAACTACGTCTTTACCAAGTTCAATCCAATATGAGATTTTACAATCATAACAATCGGCATGTAATATATTCCTCCACCTTCTATAGAATAAGCAAGTGCGCAAGTCATAATGACTCAAAAAGAACATGAATTCATTTCCACTACAATAAGAAATAGTATAATATATTATCAACAGGAAGAAAATCGAATGTTATGAATATTATTTTTTCATCGACTTACACACATCACTATCAATCACTCTGACATAAACACATAATATAAAACTAGGTATATTTCGTGAGATTCGCGCCAAATTATTTCTTGTTTTATTTAAAAATTATTTATTACTAGCTTTCCGCCATATACACATGCTAATTCAGGGTTAAGAATTATCCGTGTACCAAATTTCATCCTAATCCGTTCAGTTGTTTTGCGTGAAAGAGTCACAAATATATATTAAATTACATCCTATCAAACTTTCTCCTTTAAATAGTAGGCTAGGATGGGCTTATAAAGAGGAAAGATTTGTTATTTGTTTGTTTGCATTGAAAAGGCATCGAAACTACTGGATTGATTTTCAAAATTTACGGGAAATCATACGCAGGTGCACGCTATAATTGATGCCTGCGAAGTCGCGGGAAACAACTAGTTGCTTATTAAAAATGTCCCATGTATTATGTTCACATAAAACTTTAAAATTGCTTTAGTTTTGATTATCAAATGATGGAGTTAGTATTTAAATTAGATGATATTGTTTTCCTTACGAAAAATAATATCCATATTCCTTTGTATGTAAATTTATGTTTTTCGCATATAATAAATATCATTGAAGTAATAATCTATAAATATAGTTTATTTTCTATTTCGCATTACCTTCATAATGTTTAAATCAAGGAAAATATTTGAAAATATATATTTGAAAAAAGATCTCTAAGACTTAAATATTCAAACAAAAGAAGAATGTCAGAATGAATCTGCCGTACTTTTACTTTATTTTCCTTTTTTTTAAATATTTTTTTACAGCTACAAGGGACTATAGATCTAAGAATGAAGTTTTAATTTTACAATAAGTCCAAGAATAAACACAAACCTGTCTTATTACTTTATTAATGTTAGCTTTTAAAACAACTTTGCTGTCGTCGTGTTTCATCTTAAGTTCCACAGTCGTTAATCCTACTCTTAAATAGTTATTTCCGCTGTAGTTTAAATAAATATATGTCTTGGAAATCACGTAACTTTAGATCGGCAATGAATTTAGCTTTTCCTTTTCTCAATTTCGCTAAGCACTGAAATTCTATTAGTGACCAGACAAGCAAATACATATAATGAATTCGAAACAAACGTGCTCACCGCATTCAGGAGAAATATCTTTTTTGTATCTAATTCTGCCACAAAGTTAATTCGAGACAATAACAGTTGAATTGACCTTTGAGAAATTGCAAATATTACAGAGTAAAACTTTTATTTTACTTTGCTAATTAAAAAGAAATGACACTTACCTCTTTTTTCTTTTAAACGTCATATTATTTTACTCGTCATTATAATTCGGCCAATGACCCCTTTACATTGGCGATATCTGTACCTCATTAGTCAGTCTTTGGCTCTCGTTGATTTATTGTAAAACTTTCAAATTTAATGAGTGAAACATTTATGTTTTTGAACAACAACGATTCTACAAAAATGTAGAGAAACATAATCCTCAATCATGTTGTAATTTATTTACTACATTGCAATATAATCAACAGGAAGTCTTATAAAGTCTCATCTCAAGCGGTAAATAATTTCTTGCGTGAAATAATAAGGTTGCAACAAAGGATATTTATTTACAAAACACGTTGCATTGATGTGCCGTTTAAAAGACATGCTTATGTTTGTAGATATAATAGACATCCGATTTAACGTAGCAGCTTATGTTGTTTATGATGCTTGTCACGCCGGACGAAGGGTGCAAAGGAAATGCTCCATTCAGCCTCTGATTATAGGAAAACAGTCGACGGCCCGTCGTCGCGCGCAGCACACGCCGCTCTCCAACACTGGCGTAAAAAAAAGCAAAATACGCGCGGGAAAACCTGACAATAATAGTTTTAAATCATAGGTTTATTACCATTAGCTCCAAGCATTTAAATCTCCTTGTTGATGTTGTAAAATTTTAATCCAGTATCTATTTAATGTTAATGTAGTTTTTAGGCATTGATATAGAATTTAAAGGATTGTCTAAGACAATAACGTTGTAACCGACGACAATAATATTTAATTAGTCAAAGTTTTAATAAGAATATATTCGAAAGTATTTTTTGAAAGATTAAAATGAGTGAAGCCAAAAATATGGAAGTTTGCGGGAGTGTAATGGACGGGGTGGCCGAAAAGGGTGGCGTTTTAGAATCGCCGAGCAAAAAGGCGCCAACCGAATACACAGTATTTCCCATAAGATGGTTGGTGCTGTTCATATTCGTGTTTTACTCGGCGTCTAATTCGATGCAGTGGATCCAGTACAGCATCATTCAGGACGCCGTCGTGAAATACTATGGAGTCAATAGCATAACTGTATATTGGACCTCAATGATATACATGATCACGTACATACCACTGATTTTCCCGGCGAGTTGGCTTCTGGATAAAATGGTAAGAGGTCCTATAACATTTGATCTAATAACATTTTCATATTATGCAGATTAATAATGTCGCTGGTAATTAGACTTTTTAAACGAAACTAAAGCCATAAACCAACCTTAATTTTTCATCAAAAATTAAAACTAGTATCTATTTACAGTCAAATCGAATTAAAATTAAGATAACATTTCATAGTAAAAGTAGTTTTTTAGAATTAAAAAATAAACCTTACCTTTACTTTGCTATGATGAAATCTTGGTATACTTAACCTAGACATATGTTTTGTTTTGTTTTTTAAAACTTATATCAGCACCATCAAAATACAGCACGTCGAAAAATCGGCAAACTAATTACAAACTGACTATATCAATGATATCATACATACTTGATCATTAGGTATACAATGGTTGCAATTATTTACAATAATTACAACTCGCACGAATGAACATGATACCATGCCTATTCTATTTATCCTAGAACGAAAATTCGGAAAATGTCGAATCGTTCTTATGAATTTTTTAAAATCAGGTCCGTGAAGATTATTTATGCATCAGAACCTCGGTTGCATCATTAATTATCTGTTTAATAAAAATGTGTTTCTTTGGAGCTGTATTAGCATTTTTAAAATACACTTACCAAATTTCGTTTTCGGAGGACTTCTCCTTTTCCTCTAGTACAAGAGAAATTCGTACGTACAGTAATTGTAATTAAATATATAGTAGGTAAATGTTCCGATTACTATTATAGATTATAAACATCTCGATATATGTTTATACATATGTTTATAAATCATAATGAATCATATTTATAGTCATAGTAAATAGGTAATATTTATTGCAAATACGTACGTCATGGAAATCCCTGGTTTAGTTTGTCATGCTTGAGTTGTTTTGTAATGCTTAGTTTTCAAAGATTCATTCATGTAATGATACGCGATAGAGATGAAGGTTGGAATATACCACCGGCTTGCGATCCAGTAATTAGTCAAATAAAATCTCAATGATGATAACATATTGCAATTGTATCCGACGGACTTCTTGCTGGATCCCGGATCCCACTCCCCATACAGAGGGAAGGAAAAAAAAAGATTACACATTGCTAAACTAAAAGGTACAGTTAGTTCATTCTGTAACTATTAAATCAAAGGGAGCAAATTTTCTTGTCGGAATTTGTTTCGCCAGTTTTTCTCAGACAAGACCCCCAATTTGTAAAAAAGTGTTTTACGGTAGCCAAGAGTAAATAAATTGGCAAGTCAAATGTATTTTTTTTAAATTATTTAATTTAACAAATGTAAACATTCCAAAAATATAAAATAATTGTATTATGAATGTGTCCAATAGTATTGTTTTGAAGGTAGCCTATACTTTTAATTACACGGAACCTGCAAAGGGTCCGAAACGTCAGTAAAAGAAATCTACAAGCGCGATGAAACCGTTTAAAAGTTGTTTCATTTACTACTTAGTTTTACTAAAAGTACGTGATCATTATTTAAAATATATAACTTCAATAAATCTTTCGAATTGCTCCAATAATAATTGATTAAAATTCTTAGTAAATAAAGTTACCTACCTATTAACCGGAGTAGGTTCATAAGCTATATTTAAAACTAACTGTTTTCCCGCGAATTCGCTCGCGTAAGTTATAGCATATGTCATCCTCGTCTAATATAGGTACCCGTAGGTGAAAGACTTTTTAAAATCGGTCCAGTAGTCTTTGTGTCCATTTGATGCAAACAAACAATCAAATCTTTACTCTTAATAATATTAGTCCGTCAATTAAGGCATTCACAGGCACAAACCTCCTCTAATTAATAGAATTGTAATTTGGCTTAATGAGCTATACCATTCCCTTCGCGGGTACAATGTGGATTAGCGGACTAATGATTGAAGATGTAGCCAGGAACAATGGCTTCCAATACACGAGGAGGCTCGCAACCTATATAACAACCGGCCCATATGAATAATGCTTAACTTTTCCAAAGGCAAAGCGTACCCGACAACTATTGAGCCGTCGTACTCTGATTCGAGATTATTTTGTAGTAAACAATTAACCTATAATCAGCAATGTCATTTGGAATTTTTTTATGAAGTCCATTAATTTATTTTAATCTTGACTCGTTACTCGAGTAATATCGTTTCTTATGATTGAGAAATAGTTTAGACAAAATGTATATTTTACACGAATCGCAATGTTATTGTTGATTTTGCAGACGCCTGAATCGATTTTTGACATCTTTCATCTTACGAATATTTCGAATATGCGATTTTTTTCTTTAAATCAAATACTTGCCAAATTTCATCTAGTCACTTTCATATTAACCTGATTAAGTAATTTATTTATCTTTTAATTGCAACACATATTGTATTGCAGAAATTGCAACAAATACAAAAGCGTAGCTATTTTCACAACCTTTCATCTAGAAATATAAAAAAAGGATAATTGCAATTCGATGTCTAGTTTTGCGAGATATCCGTGGACAAACATACTGACATGCATAAAAATTAATAAAATTTTGCTCATATGAACATATATGAATATTACGTCTTTCTAAGGAAATTAAATACATACACCTCGAATTGATAACCTTTTTATTTTTTTCGTCAAATAATAAAAAAATATGTAACATTATTGTGAAAAAATAAAATTATACTGATTTTTTACTGATTTATTTTATTAATAGATTATTGAATAATATTAAACATGTATTTTGTTATTTTTACGTAGTCAATAAATTACGACGATATATACGGTGAGTTGAAATGTCACATGACGTCACGCCTGTGTACTATTTCTTATATAATTAAAGTAATAAATATACATAATTATTTTTTTATTATCTACCTGACACATTAAATAGAATGTTTTTTTACCCAAGCATTATCGTCCTCGATTTTTTTATTGTTTGTGGAGTATCTTTATTTTAAATAGAAAAAGTTTATGACTTCCTTAATTCGCAACACATTTCCCAGTAAAACGGATAAAAGAAAGTTTCTAGATTATAAAAATCTTTACAAGAAAGGTAATAATACCTATTTTCCACTGATGGACGGTTATCGAGTTATACCGTTTTCAGACCATATGAAAGTTATATTTAAATTTTATCCACACCGCTCCATATAATTAGGTGAAATACTTCCATAAAAACTTTAATCCTCTAATTTACTTCCTTAGGGGTTGAATTTCATAAAATCCCGTCTTAGTGAGCACCTACGTCATAAAAAGAACCCGCATTCAAAATTTCATACCCCTAGCACTTGTAATTTCTGAGATTTCGTGTTGAATAAGTGAGAGAAAGACCTTTTGCTTCTATATATAGATTACATTGTATGACCTCTATGATGTCTGATTCTTATATTATTTTCCTTAAACGCCATAATAAGTCAGAAACGGACCGGTCCACGTTTCGGTGTGCGCACATTTCCTAGACCAAGTATGTTTACTATTTCTTTTTGCTAAACAAGATGGCAAAATGTTGATAGATATTCTTATTGCCCATTAAAGTGGACTGCAATAGCATTTTCTTGAATAAGTCACTTTTGAGATACGTATTATTAATAACTTTTTTAAAGTTTGAAGTCTATTTTTCTAAAAAAAGTTTTTATTTAATGTTTTTTAGTGAAATTGTTATTTTTTATATAATAGGTAATACAAGAAGTATTAAATGTCTATATAAATAAAAATATTCGACGTAGTGAAAGTCTTAGAAAAGAGGATTTTGCTTATTTGCCCGAAACATATTTTACAATAATCTATATTAATATTTTAAAGAGGAAAGATTTGATTAGGTACCTGTTTATTTGCATTACCCAATGCCCCGTAACATTGGACCGATTTATAAAAGTCTTTCATCTGCTGGAAGCTACATCATACGCGGGGATCATAAGCTATAATTTACGTACGCGAAGTCGCGGCGAAACAGCTAGTTCAATAGAAATTAGGTCACAATTCAAGAAGAAACCCATGATCAAACCTACTTTCATAGAAAAACATACATCAAAGAGTACTTGTTGAACATATAAAATTCTTCTTTCAGATTTTGAATGGCTGCAAAATACGCAATCTTTTGTTTTTTTGTTGAAATAAACAATCATCTAAATATTTATGTGATAGATGATGAAAAGCGTATTTTGTTTTGTTATAAAAGGAAAACTACTTATTCGATTTCGATAAAATTAAATGGTAGGTACCACCCTTCATTAAGCTGTCCAATATAAAAGAATTTTGAAAATCGGTCGACAATTGGCGAAAATATCAGTTAAGTACTTATCAAAAAAACATACATCGCTGTTGAATATCTAACCACCTCTTTTTTAATTTTGAAGTCGGTTAAAAATTGTGTTTTTCTATAAACAGAAACCATTTGTCACGTATCACTGTTAAACGTTTTCATTTAAATGAAAATAAATACATCAAATTGGAATACCAACGCCATCTATTAGCAATTGAAAATAATATAACCATGAAGTTTTATTTCAGGAAAGCTCGACATACATATATTTTTTCAATACGGTTAATTTATTTTTTTATTATTTCAAGATATCAAAATATTTTGTAATATTTAATAAAATATTTGCCCAAGTTTTCCATCAAAAATACACTTATTTTACCTCACTCAATAGAATTTATTACGTACTATGTATCTAACATGTCATACTAGTTTATCCAAATTTAGTCAAAAATTGTGTAAATGTGTAAAGTTTGGACGTTAGATTAGCTAACGTCATTCCGTGTGTGTATTGTGATGTAACATTCAAGACTTTATAAGGAAAACATTAATATAAATGTCAAATAGTAGCAAAAGTACCTATATAATGATCAGGAAAAAAATCAAGATTTACGCGATTGCACATTTGAAAAATGAATTAGGATAATTTTATAAGCAATAGTCATTTTGAGAGCAATGATGTTCAAATAATGAAAGGATTTTTTTATTGAGTATTTAATGGTATTGCAAGACGTCCAGAGGGACTAAATCCCCTTTAAATTATTGCTGTGGAAGGATGTGGGATCCCACCACTTAAATTTTACTAAGAAAATCTCTAAAACCCAAAGGGTGGTTAAATACT